GTGGCCGCGGGGGCAAAAATCTACACTTTCCATTCTAAGACCGGAGTAGGGGCTGCAAACGTCAAATCCTGCACGTTGACTGTAAATTTACAGGTAAAAAGCTCATGTTGCATGTCGTGTTGCATGTGTGTTGCATGTGTGTTGCATGTGCGTTGCATGGCAGGTGTGCAGGATAGAGCAGTCACGCTCTCAAAGTGGTGCGCCTGCCACGCAGAACGACAGCCAGTGCACCCCACGACATTGCGGAATCAGGCCAAAAAGGTGTCAAGACTGTCGCTGCATGTATTTCACTTAGCACAACCCATATTAGCGCATATGCGACACCCACACACAAACACCCGCCCAAACTGATCCCGATGCTTTCTCTGACACGGTGTCGTCATCATTCTCGCGTTTGTCTGCAGCCATGGGTCCATCCTACTGTGTCTTTTCTGAGTCCGGGTTCTTCAAAAAAAACAGCCATCCCATGAAGTACCACCCCAGAGAGGTCATGCCACCCCCCGTCCCCCAATTCAATGTTGTCTTCTGAATTTTGTGTTTGGCGGCCTTCAAAAAAAACAGCCATTTCTGTTGATGATGTTCGGCACTTCCGATCACAACATTGAAGTTGGGGGTTGCGGGGGTAAGCAGGGTATCTCTGTGGTTTCCTGTGGATGGCTGTTTTTTTTGAAGAACCCGGTGAGGTTTTTTTTGGTTCCGAGTTCATTTTAACTGTTGTTGATATGCATGTGGATGTAGATCAGCACACACACACACACATCGATGCGACAACATCAGCTTCTGAAATTTACGCATTGTCAAAGCATGCGCTTCTGTAATCTGTGACAGCCCAATAAAGGTGGATGCTAAGGGCTAACCATCAGCTTGTGAAAGTTGCCCAAGATGGTTGCCAAGCTTATTCTATATAATATGCGACAACCCCACAAAGGTGGATGCTACGGGCCACCACCACAATGTAATATCCAAGGCGCTCAGCTTCCAAAGTCTCGCCCTGCCACCTACAACTCTTGCGCCTGCCACGCTGTTTTCTACTTCCCCACTTCACAGGTGTGATTTGTATGGGCCTGCCAATGCAACGCACATGCAACACACATGCAACACACATGCAACACACATGCAACACACATGCAACACACATGCAACACACATGCAACACACATGCAACACGCGCATTTTCCCTGTAAATTTCCAAGCAACGTGGCCGCGGGGGCAAAAATCTACACTTTCCATTCTAAGACCGGAGTTGGGGCTGCAAACGCCAAATCCTGCACGTTGACTGTAAATTTACAGGTAAAAAGCTCATGTTGCATGTCGTGTTGCATGTGTGTTGCATGTGTGTTGCATGTGTGTTGCATGTGCGTTGCATGGCAGGGGTGCAGGATAGAGCAGTCACGCTCTCAAAGTGGTGCGCCTGCCACGCAGAACGACAGCCAGTGCACCCCACGACATTGCGGAATCAGGTCAAAAAGGTGTCAAGACTGTCGCTGCATGTATTTCACTTAGCACAACCCATATTAGCACATATGCGCCCGCGCAAGCAAACAGACACACCCACACACAAACACCCGCCCAAACTGATCCCGATGCTTTCCCTGACACAGTGTCGTCATCATTCTCGCGTTTGTCTGCAGCCATGGGTCCATCCTATTGTGTCTTTTCTGAGTCCGGGTTCTTCAAAAAAAACAGCCATCCCATGAAGTACCACACCACAGAGGTCATGCCCCCCCCGTCCCCCAATTCAATGTTGTCTTCTGAAGTTTGTGTTTGGCGGCCTTCAAAAAAACAGCCATTTCTGTTGATGATGCTCGGCACTTCCGATCACAACATTGAAGTTGGGGGTTGCGGGGGTAAGCAGGGTATCTCTGTGGTTTCCTGTGGATGGCTGTTTTTTTTGAAGAACCCGGTGAGGCTTTTTTTTGTTCCGAGTTCAGTTTAACTGTTGTTGATATGCATGTGGATGTAGATCAGCACACATACACACACATCGATGCGACAACATCAGCTTCTGAAATTTACGCATTGTCAAAGCATGCGCTTCTGTAATCTGTGACAGCCCAATAAAGGTGGATGCTAAGGGCTAACCATCAGCTTGTGAAAGTTGCCCAAGATGGTTGCCAAAGCTTATTCTATATAATATGCGACAACCCCACAAAGGTGGATGCTACGGGCCACCACCACAATGTAATATCCAAGGCGCTCAGCTTCCAAAGTCTCGCCCTGCCACCTACAACTCTTGCGCCTGCCACGCTGTTTTCTACTTCCCCACTTCACGGGTGTGATTTGTATGGGCCTGCCAATGCAACGCACATGCAACACACATGCAACACACATGCAACACACATGCAACACGAGCATTTTCCCTGTAAATTTCCAAGCAAAGTGGTCGCGGTGGCAAAAATCTACACTTTCCATTCTAAGACCGGAGTTGGGGCTGCAAACGTCAAATCCTGCACGTTGACTGTAAATTTATAGGTAAAAAGCTCATGTTGCATGTCGTGTTGCATGTGTGTTGCATGTGTGTTGCATGTGTGTTGCATGTGTGTTGCATGTGCGTTGCATGGCAGGTGTGCAGGATAGAGCAGTCACGCTCTCAAAGTGGCGCGCCTGCCACGCAGAATGACAGCCAGTGCACCCAACGACATTGCAGAATCAGGTCAAAAAGGTGTCAAGACAAGACTGTCACTGCATGTATTTCACTTAGCACAACCCATATTAGCACATATGCGCGCAAGCAAACAGACACACCCACACACAAACACCCGCCCAAACTGATCCCGATGCTTTCTCTGACACAGTGGCGTCATCATTCTCGCGTTTGTCTGCAGCCATGGGTCCATCCTATTGTGTCTTTTCTGAGTCCGGTGAGGCTTTTTTTTGTTCCGAGTTCAGTTTAACTGTTGTTGATATGCATGTGGATGTAGATCAGCACACATACACACACACACACACATCGATGCGACAACATCAGCTTCTGAAATTTACGTATTGTTAAAGCATGCGCTTCTGTAATCTGTGACAGCCCAATAAAGGTGGATGCTAAGGGCTAACCATCAGCTTGTGAAAGTTGCCCAAGATGGTTGCCAAAGCTTATTCTATATAATATGCGACAACCCCACAAAGGTGGATGCTACGGGCCACCCCCACAATGTAATATCCAAGGCGCTCAGCTTCCAAAGTCTCGCCCTGCCACCTACAACTCTTGCGCCTGCCACGCTGTTTTCTACTTCCCCACTTCACGGCTGCCAATGCAACGCACATGCAACACACATGCAACACACATGCAACACACATGCAACACACATGCAACACACATGCAACACGAGCATTTTCCCTGTAAATTTCCGAGCAACGTGGCCGCGGGGGCAAAAATCTACACTTTCCATTCTAAGACCGGAGTTGGGGCTGCACGTTGACTGTAAATTTACAGGTAAAAAGCTCATGTTGCATGTCGTGTTGCATGTGTGTTGCATGTGTGTTGCATGTGTGTTGCATGTGTGTTGCATGTGCGTTGCATGGCAGGTGTGCAGGATAGAGCAGTCACGCTCTCAAAGTGGTGCGCCTGCCACGCAGAACGACAGCCAGTGCACCCCACGACATTGCGGAATCAGGTCAAAAAGGTGTCAAGACTGTCGCTGCATGTATTTCACTTAGCACAACCCATATTAGCACATATGCGCCCGCGCAAGCAAACAGACACACCCACACACAAACACCCGCCCAAACTGATCCCGATGCTTTCCCTGACACAGTGTCGTCATCATTCTCGCGTTTGTCTGCAGCCATGGGTCCATCCTATTGTGTCTTTTCTGAGTCCGGGTTCTTCAAAAAAAACAGCCATCCCATGAAGTACCACACCACAGAGGTCATGCCCCCCCCGTCCCCCAATTCAATGTTGTCTTCTGAAGTTTGTGTTTGGCGGCCTTCAAAAAAACAGCCATTTCTGTTGATGATGCTCGGCACTTCCGATCACAACATTGAAGTTGGGGGTTGCGGGGGTAAGCAGGGTATCTCTGTGGTTTCCTGTGGATGGCTGTTTTTTTTGAAGAACCCGGTATCTCCCATTTTCGGAGCCCCCTCAAGGTTTCGCGTCCAAGAGTCCAGTGTCAGACCTGTTCTCGCACTTGGAGAACATGTCCTCGTGATCACAGCCGATCCCAGCTCGGCGGGGAACTGGGAGAATTTAGCCAAAAATCGGGGAGTTATGTAACCTTATTTCATGAATTTTCATGATATTTCGTAATGGAATTAGGGGTCTGAAAATGGACAAAATTCAAGGCCTTCCCAATGGCAAGTTTGATGGGGAACATGATTTTTTCACGCGCTGGATGGAATGGCTTTGGAAATGCCTCTGTCGATATTGGAGCTACTCTATGTACCCTCTGGTTATTTAACATAGCCATGGAAAATCACCATTTTTAATAGGTAAACCATCTATAAATGGGCCATTTTCCATGGCTATGTTAAATAACCAGATGGTATATGCAAGATTTTTAACTGGAAAAACAAAAAAAAACGCGCTGTTAAAATTCTGACAACCCATTTTTTTGATAAAAGCGCTGTTGATAAAAGGGCTGTTTGGGCCTTGGGAATGATTCTCGATGATTGATCCATGAAAACTGCTGGCTTTTCGCCATGTTGGACTAGCGGAATGTCCCCTGGTCACTGGTCCCCGCACTGCCTAGGTCAAACAAAAAAGGTACGTTTGTACTTGCAGCTGGCTCATCTATGCTAATCTAAATACCCACCAAAACAAGAAAAAAACATACCCTCTGGATATTTAACATAGCCATGGAAAATTGCCCATTTATAGATGGTTTACCTATTATAAATGGTGATTTTCCATGGCTATGTTAGTCATAACCAGATGGTAAGGGTGATTTTTCCTATGTGCGATTGTCTTCGCTGAGATTTGATGGAAATGACCAAAACCGTTTTGTAATCCCATTAGGACGACTAGTGCCCTTGGCACGGACTCGAACGTAGCAAGGTTTAGACTCTCATCAAGCCTTGGCCCGGTAAATCAGGTGTCGGTACCGAGCATCTGTCACATGGAGTTGCTTCATGCCCTCGATGTGCATGACCCTCAGGTGCTGCAGTTTCACAGAAAGTATGATACTCCATGTGCGCATTCTGCAGATCGGCCACAGGTCTTTTGAAAAATCATCACAACTATCTTCAAAGGTTATTTCGACATTTGACTTGTGAAAAGATCGTACAGGGATCCGCAGAGATGTTACAAAGATTCAAAACAGAATGATATGAGGGTGCTTATACCGATAAAAAAATAAGTGCATACAGATCTTGCAGAAGGATCTATTTTATATATATATATATTATATATATTATATATACATATATTATATATATATTATATATATACAGTAATATATTGTGAGATAGCCCCTTTCAGACAAGCGGAGTGCCGGGGGATGTTCGCCTTGCGACGTATGCACGCGGGGGGTTCATGAAATTTCAGCTGCTTCATAAAGCTGTTGCTGGCCTGCTGGGATCATGCGCTGGCGTTTTGCTGCTTACAACCCTCATAGTGCTTGGGAACTCTCACGTAAAGAAGAGATTGCAACTGCATTTGCTGGATATCACGTGTTGGGTTTGTCAGGCACAAAACGAAAACGACACCGAGAGGATCCTGCATGCTGCAAATCACAGGTTGGTACGTTTCACATTTATGAATGGGGGCATTCAGGCAAGTCTGAGAACGCTGCTGGTGTTGCATTGTATCTTCGCAAGCAAGCTTTTCGTGATTACAATGTACGGCGGGTATACAAGATTCCTTCTGAATACCAGGGGAGGATGGGCATACTTCGGGTCAAAAGAGGTGACTGTGATTTTTGCTTTATCGTTGCATACCCTTGGGTACATAGGCAGACGGTGGCTGAGCAAACTCGAACCAACAGTTTTTGGAAATACATTGGCAAAAGTGTATCAGAACTGCAATGTATCGCTGTGTTCCTATCATCCTTACAGACTCCTATGCAAAGAATATTTGTCAGATTGGATCATCATCCCAACTATTGGGGAAAATAAAATTCATGTTCCAAAAGTTCCAAACCACCAACCAGATATATATATATATTATTGTGAGATGTCATCCAGAGATCAGGTTCTTGGGGGATTAGATCATGAGATCCGGAGATCTGGAGATAAAAAAAACGGGTAACGAACGGAGCCAGGAATTTGAGTTCTCTACTGAAAGAAAGGGAACACACCTAGGACCTAGGAATTTGTAGAGAGATCCCTTGAGAGATCCTTTTAGAAACACTCTTGAACTTCAGGGGTCGTAGCAATAGTCTTGAAGAGATCCCGTGGAAAGTTGCAGAGTTGCATGAAACCAAAGAATATCTGGGTAGCGGTTTCAATCCAAAACATGCCACAACTACTATTATGTACTATATTCAACTTGGGGGAACCAAAGTTAACTTAGACCCAGTGACCAGTGACGGTGACATCACAACCACCGCTTTTCTCGATGGAAATCCACGGACGGCCAAGGCATGGCAAGGCACTCTTTGAAGCCGGTGGGGATCGTCTTCCCGAAGACTTTGATGGAGGTTTCCTGGCCGGCCCAGGCCCTCATCATTCTCCTCAATGGAGTGGTGAAATCCGATGTGTAGAGGAAAATCGGAACCGGAAACCATGGATTTTCCCATGAAATATGGAGGTTTCCTGCAAGTTCCCCTTAGGCCAATCCATTGATTGGGGGTATCTCCTTACGATTGCTCATTCGGTCTCCACTTCCCGAGAATCGGCCCTGTCCATGTTGGTTTACCAACAGATCCAACAAGTGAATGGGCGTACAACCCCGATAGTGGGTATATCAAGGGGTCATTTTACCCCTATGAATAGTGGAATTATCATCCCCCAATATTGGCAATACAATCCGACCTTTGAGCATGGCACAAATGGGGCTCAAGAATGACCTTCTAAACTATTCAATCTTAGTTGTCAATGCTCTGAGTCTGAGTCATCTTACTATCCACTAGTAGCGCATCTGGCCAAGATTACATTCGTGTAATTTAACATTGCTATCAGCTATCAAAATGGTCCCTTTATAGATGATTGACTCATTGACCTATCAAGCATTGAAGCATGGTCATTTTCCATGATTAATTAGTTATTACGAGAGGGTAATCAAGAATTTCCAAACCAATGTTGAGATCTCGCTATCATCCACTATCACTAGTAGCTAATTCTTATGCAGTTGAACTTCGATGTCTCACACCCAACCCACAGGTTCTTCAGGTTTTGCCACAGATCTGAGACCCATTTTGACCATGCCTGGGGCATCCCAGGATTTCCAAACCACCCATCGCCCACCAGTCCGCCTCTCTTTTGGCTTCCACGTTTGCCAAGTTCACTTGATTCATTCCCTGCCAAGGTTTGGGGCAGGGACGCAACCGGGGCATGGGGTGTCCCCCGCGAACAAAAAAAACATCCTTCAAATGATAAAATTATCCCGGCAAGAGACCCCAAACAGTGTGGAGGAGCGGGAGGATAATGTATGATAATGTTGATGATGACGACGACGACGACGATGATGATGATGATGGTGATGGTGATGGTGATAGTTATGATGATGGTGATGATGATGATGATGATGATGCTGGTGATGGTGGTGGTGATGATGATGGCGATGATGGTGGTGATGGTGGTGATGGTGATGATGGTGATGATGGTGATGATGGTGATGATGGTGATGATGGTGATGATGGTGATGATGGTGATGATGGTGATGATGGTGATGGTGCGGAGGATGACAATGGTGCGGACAATGATGTTGAGGATGATGTGATGTTGAGGATGATGAGTTGCAGGATAATGATGCTGAGGATGATGTGATGTTGAGGATGATGAGGTTCAGGATAATGATGTTGAGGATGATGAGGTGGAGGATGAGGTTGAAGATGATGATGCTGAGAAGGAGGAAAATGATGTTGAGGATGATGATGTTGAGGAGGAGGATGATCATGATGATGAAGAGGATGATAATGTTGCGGAAGAGGAGGTGGAGGATAATGATGTTGCGGAAGATGAGGTGGAGGATGATAATGATGATGTTGAGGATGATGGTGTCAAGGAGGAGGAAGATGATGGTGTTGAGGATGATGATGTGGAGGAGGAGGACCGATCCCAAAACCGGGACCCACAGTTTGCGCGACCCTGTGCAGTCGAAATGCGCATGGACATGTTGGAAGAACCGTTTTATGCAGAAATTTACAGGTAAAAGGCCGCAGACCAAGCGCAAGCAAAACTCGCGCCGCAAACTTTGTGCGAGCCTGCGCAGTCATGGACATGTGAGAAGAGCATAGAAGAGCCATGTTATGCGGAAATTGACAGGGAAAGTGCCGGGGCCCAGAATGAGCACCTCGATCAAACACCGGCCTTAACGCTTAGAACCCACTGTTTGGAGAAAAAAGGACTTGACATAGACAACCGATGGCAATAAGCCAAAATCATCCAAAATCTATGAGCACCAGACCCATCATGGTCTGCCACGAGGCTCGATCCGGTCTGGATCTCAATGTAGTTGCATCAAGTGCTGATGACGCATGTGCCAGGTTGTTGCAAGGTCGAGTATTGGAGTCAACAAAGATGCAACAGTCAACCCCATGAGGAAATAGTACAGTAGAGGCTCGCTGTTTTAATCAGTCAAATCAGAAGCAGAAAGTGTGTAACGGTCTGAATGGGCATTGAAAACTGCCTATGAATTCCTCATGTATCAAAGGTGAAAGCCGATGCCCACCGGAAGGATTACCGAGAACCACCTGGGAAGCCTGAAAGAAAACAAATATTCTAAACTATACTATATAACTATATAACCCTAATTTAGAGATGGTTCAGGAGGATACCCCTTACCAACATCATGTATGCCATTGTTGTGAGGTCTCTATTGTTTTTTCCTGGACCATCCAGAAACCAGGTGTTTGCGGCATCGGGCTTACCACAGTACTTCTGCTTTGAATGGAAAGTGCCTTCATTGGGCAAATGATGGAAAATGACTCATGTTTCCCCATCAGGGTGACATTGCCATTTCGAAATGAATCATGTGGCTCATGGTTTCCCTCGGAATTAAACCCATATGAATCATATTTATCATATATATATATATATATTTATTTATTTATCATATATATATAACGTATGTGTGAATATCATGAAATCCATGGGCTTTCCCACTGAACATCCCAGCCGTTTCCGCCGAGACCTCCAGGCAGGAGCCGATGGGTCCATGGCCGGCGTAGAAGAGGTCGCCGGCGTTGCGGTTCAGAATTTGGATCACCACCGGGTAGGCCACTGGGCCGTTGCGTGGCCGTTGCGTGGCCGTTGCGAGGCTGGGAGATTTCCAACACTGCCAAATCAAGGGGGAGAACTGGGAAATCCATGGAAATCACCCTTACCCTCTGCTTATGACTAACAGTTCGCCATGGTATAGATGGCCCATTTATAGATGATTTTCCCATTAAAACGTTAATTCATAAGGGATTTTCCATGGCTATGTTAAATAACCAGATGGTATAGATCACTGGGATCTGTAACTGGGATAGGGTTTGGTATGGATCTATAACTGGGATCTATAACTCAAAATTCCCATGTTGCCAGTGATTGTAGATGGGGCTTTGGTATGGAGGGAACTCTCCGACAGAGCTTTGTGGTGGGTCAAAATGTCCAGTTGTTGACAATCCCGTGTTTGGGCATCACGTGAAGAACTGGGGAAACAACAAAATCAGGGTGGTTTCCCTCAGAAATGCACCATTTTGGAGGATTTTGATTTCAAGTATTTTGGCTTCTTGAGCCATATCAAAATGAAGCAGAAACTCCCTCAAAACTGCTACAAAAAAGACACCCTTGGAGTCGAAATTATGGAACTACTTACTACTTACCCTCTGGTTATTTAACATAGCCATGGAAAATCACCATTTTTAATAGGTAAACCATCTATTTCTATGGGCCATTTCCCATGGCAAACTGTTAGTCATAACCAGAGGGTACATTGTTCACATGTTTCATCGACATGGGAATCACGATGAAGATCCCAACATCCCAACTTCGTCAAAAGAAATTGGAGAACCTCGGGTGAAACATGATGCACAGTAATTTACTGGTTTAATCCCTGAATTCGTGTGTGTATATATATATGATATGTCCATGTTTGACCTCATACATACTGGGTTTATTTTTTGATTTCTTTCTCTTCAAGTTAGGTCAGATTCCCAATGTTTGTTGCTTCATGTCCACTGAAAACCTGGATCAGATCGCCATGGACTGCTGAAAGCTGATCCGGCGCCTTTTCGCCATATTTATCATATCCAAATTCTCTGTTGGCTTCATCATCGTTTTCTTCATCATCATCCTACTTTTCTTCTTATTCTTCTTCTTCTTCTTCTGCTTTGCACGGTGATGTGCTCTTGCTAGTTGCATCCCGCTTGGAGCATTCGAAAATGACCCTCGTCCATGACTTACCCATTCCAGGAAACCTACTGTCCATCTTTGCTCAGGTCAGGGTCAAAAAGGAATCACCAAAATTGGATAAAATTGGTCACTTTTAGTATTGAACAATATGAACAATCCACTTTGGGGGTCACCAATTTTGAGCTACCACAAAATCTACCAAATTCACAACAGGCTCGTTGGATGATAAGTTGTTTTACAACTTGAAACTACAGATCATGTATATGTCCACCATAGTCCAATCGTTGGCCTACATATTTCAAGCAACTTGGGTGGCCATTCCTGTACCCATTTTTTGCTTTCCGTCATCCCCTTCACTCCCATCATATGCCCATCACATCACAATTTTGTTGGTAAAATCCCCCATGTTTGATGCTTCAACAGCATTATTCCCATGGTTTCCACTCCTTGCTGTACCCAGCGGTGCCGCCGGGCGCACCTTTGAGTCCCTTGGTAGCGCCCACGACGTCCACCGCGCAAACGTCGCTGGGGATGCACTGGGCGGTGTACTGATACTGCTTCCAGGCCCTTGGCAAGGGGTAAAATCCAAGGGATTGCACCCTCAACAATGGTTAATAATGGTTAATATACTGTTATATGTTAATAATTGTTAAATAGTAATGGTTAATAATGTTTAATAACAATGGTTAATGATGGTTAATAATAATGGTTAATGATGGTTAATAATAGTGGTTAATGATGGTTAATAACAATGGTTAATGATGGTTAATAATAATGGTTAATGATGGTTAATAATAATGGTTCATGATGGTTAATAATAATGGTTAATGATGGTTAATAACAATGGTTAATGATGGTTAATAACAATGGTTAATGATGGTTAATAACAATGGTTAATGATGGTTAATATACTGTTATATGCTAATATACTGTTAATGATGATGGTTATTATATGGTTAATGATGGTTAATAATAATCTGGTTGGTGGTTGAGCCCTACCCCTCTGAAAAATGATAAACTTCGTCAGATGGGATGATGAAATTCCCAACTGAATGGAAAAATAAAATTCATGTTCCGAACCACCAACCAGTAATGGAAGTTAACCAACAATGATTGGGTTGACTACCTTTTGGTAATTTGTTTCATAGCTTTGGAAGCCATGGCCCATTCACTTCAATGAATTACCCAAAGTGGTGATTTTTGCTATGTTTACCAGAGGGTTTTCGGCGAATCTTAATCACCGATCACCAGCGGCAAATTTGAACCGTTTATCCTTGAGGGGTTTTACCTTTGGGGGGAGTGATCGAATAGGTATGATATCTGTGGCGCATTGGTGGCATTGAAATGGGTCAAAAAAAGTGGTGCTCAAATTGGACTTTGAATGGAAAAAACCATGATAAACCAAAGGATTCTGGAGCATCCCTGATTTTTGGACAAGTGCCCGCGCGCGTGTGGAATTTTTTGTGTGGGTGTGTGTGAATATGATGAACAAAAACTGTGATTGGACAAAAAATTGTCGAAACTCCAAAAAAAAAATAGGATCATTTAAGAACAACATCACGGGCATGAATTAGACTGCCATACTAAACAAGAATAGTATAGAACAGTGATTTAAAAAAAAAAAACATAAGAAATGGGGTCCCGTTGCAGGGTTGCAGGGTTGCATGATCAACAGGGGCTTCAGCCACGCCCAGCAGCTTATTCGCAAAGCTGTAGACGTAGTTGCACTTCTTGTCTCCCTTCTTCGCCAAGGATGCCTGAGCTGTTCATCCTGAAGCTCCTGGGAAAAACATTTAAGTGGAGTTCATGCATTGTATAGATGTTTTCCAAGAAAAATGCGTGAAGATATTATGATATACTATGATATACTAAATGGATCAGAGATAGAAACCAGACTTAGTATATCATAGTATATCATAGTATATCATAGTATATCATAGTATATCATAGTATATCATAGTATATCATAATATCATGGAATCATTATAATATTATGATATACTAAATTTTATCAGAAAGGGTGGAATTTTCAAAAAAAAACACGTTCCAACTCCACCAGGGAACGATAGGCCCTGGAGCGGAGCACTTGCCATCGCCTACGTAGTTCTTTCGGATGGTTTCCTGCGTCCACACTTCCATGTATCAATCTTTGTCCCAGGGGATATACGGATAGTATAAACATATTATAGACATATATCACATATATATATATTATAGACATATATCATATATAGAATAATACACATGATTTACCCTATCAATATAGTGTGAAATGTTCATGAAAACACATCTAGTATGCATGAACCAATGAGAAAAAGGACATCTATGGCCTATCGCTTCAAAAAATTGGTCAAAGAACCCACAAAAGGATGAGAGTGGGGACAATATGATACTATGAACAAACAATAATCAAGAACAAAGGTATCAAGTTCAAACTCGTAATTTGACTGTGTTTTTACTGCCACTCACTTTTGGCCACTTAAATCCAGTTCAACCAGGGTGTTCGATGGGGAAGTCCAGAGCCTCGAAGAACTGAAGGCACAATCTTGTCAGTGGATGACCACTGTCATCCAACTTCAAATGAACAGTAGTACCTTGCTGTTCACCCAATGCCGTAAATCTCCATTTGTGCATGGTTTATATTGGTTTAGAATGAATCTATCCCGGGTTTCTTGAAGGGGTAAACTAGTAAACACCACAGAAAATCTGGGTACAGAGCCACTCAACTGTTCTCGGATTTGAAAATCGAAATCCATGTGTAAAACTCTTCAAGTCCTGGGTTTAGCACAGCACAAGTTGCTACTCGTCCCTGCCCAACTCGCCGCCAACGCCAGCCATTGGCGCCTCCTGGTCGCTGCCCTGGATGGCGTTCAGGTTCACCTGGGGCACGAGAATATATGGGGCACTTACCCTCTGGTAATTTAATTGTGGTTTAATGGTGGTTTAATGGTGGTTTAATGGGATTTAATCAGGATTTAATGGGGTTTAATGGGATTTACCCTCTGGTAATTTAACATAGCTATAGAAAATCACCATGCTATTCATAGGTAAACCATCTTTTTCCATGGGCCATTTTCTATAGCTATGTTCGTTTACCAGAGGGTATCTGGCCGTGAAAATGTTGGTGGTTTGCCATTCTGCAAATTTAATATTGTTCTTTTTCCATTAATCAATCTTACTTATAATGAAAATCAAAGCCGCCTCTCAAAATGATTTGGGTGCATATGGGAGGATAAACATGTTTTAATGTCTTCATCTCTGCCTCTCTATCTGTCTGTGAGAAGATCTTGCAGAGATCCTGGTGAAATCCTCTAAGTGTCCTTGCATGGTCTCGATACCGGTCCTTATGAGAAGATCTTGTGGAGATCCTGTTGAAATCCTCCTCAAGGGGTCCTTGCATTAAGATCTTGAAGATGGTCTGCATTGGTGTTTGTATGAGAATTCTTCTGGGGTGCTCATAGGAAGTTCTTGTATAAACATCTTGTGAGATCCTCTATCTAGATCTATGTAGAAGGTCCTTCTCTGACGATCGCTTGAAATTCTCTTAGATGTCCTGGTATCAGGTTCTGGTATGAGGTCCTAATAGGTAGACATAGCATCGCTTCTTGTTCCGAAACAAGTCCCTGCTGCTGCAGTTGCGATACTGTCTAACCTGATCTGCTACTGTTCCATAGCTACTGTTGCTTGTGTCTGGCACATTGACTTCCTACCCCCCACACTGTGTGGGGTCTCTTGACGATGTATTTTTTTAATGCACAGCCAGTGGAATTAAGTCCTGGCATACTACGATAATGGGATATCAGGAATAATGAATAATGGTTGCAAGTTGCAACAGTAGATGTGCGGAGGCTTCCTAAAAATGGTGGTGCCCCAAATCATCCAAGTCATGGATGGCCATTCTAGTATTGAAACAGCCATGGTGGCTTGGGGATCCCCCATTTGAAGAAACCCCCAAGTGAATATTGTTCATTACCAATGAGTCATGGGCTTGTAACGTTTTGCAGCCCCGTAGAACTGAGATAGCATGCCCCAGTTGATCATCACAAAGTGTGTCAGGCCAATCTGCAGGTCACAAGGTGACCCTTTTGAAGGCCAGCCATCGACAGATTTTTCCAGCAAATGTTCCAGAGTTATGGAAGCTAACCATGGGAGAAAAAAACAAAAACAATATGTGTTTTTGATGTTCCTCAGTGGTTCAGGGAGTTTTAGCATGTGACTGCTTTAAAACTCCATTCTGATTCGGAATACTGCACTGTTACCAGAAATACTGCACCGTTTCGGTCAAGTCAATGGGCGCAAAACCGACGTCGAAATGACCAATTTCTGTTCCCATAGCTGTCTTAAAAATGCATAGTCCAAAAAAACGTGTGTAGTGGTCACAAGAAATTGCTTGAAAAATGGAACAGAATCGCTTCATTCTCCAATTTTGGCTCGTCAATCCCTGTTGTCAAATCCCCGTGTATTATGTAGAACCCTTTTTGCTATGCTAGGGCACCCAAACCAATTGTGTTAGTTTAGATTTTAGATCTGCTCATTCTGGGAACCTCTTATGGGCGATTCTTATTACTTTCTGGTATGTCTGTCCCCTGCAAAAAGTTGTACTTTTGCTGGGATATGATATGTGACAAAAGCATCTAAGCCAAAACATGCTAAAAACTAAAGCGTACGGCTTCAATTCTGTTTTGGGCGGATACGATTGTATGTCGATCTATGTCTAGCCATTTGTTCTTCCGCTAGTAATTCTTGCCCTTCTTGATTGGTTTAATCGCCATGTATTCTTCCTCAAACGACAATTTTGTTGCTTAACACCCCGCGTTTGATGCTCCAAGTCTTTTGCGCCCAGGCAATCAAACTCATAGTAACTCGTAGATCCCCGGGAAAAAAATAAACATCTTAAATTCTAGTTAAATCATCCAAAAATCATCCAAAAATCATCCAAAAATCTCAATCACGCCACATTTCTCCATTTTTTGATCATAGACCCGCCTTGCTGGCGATCTCACTGGCGTAGTCCCGGGCGTCTCCGCAGCACTCCTGGGTTGGTTTTCGGGTTGATGGCATTAACGGCAATTGAGATTTGAATTACTGGATATACAGGAAAGTCTGCAGGAAACGATGGTTTTACCATGTTTTACCCACCATTTTGGTGGTTGTTTTCCGGCATCTCATCCTTCGATTCTGGCATTTTTCATCAGTTTGAATCAACAAAGACTGGCAGCTGAAGCAACGGGAACAACCGGATTTAAGATAAATGGCGATTTGAAACAAACAACAAGATAGGGTGTTTTTTTAAAAAAAAATAAGAACACGAGTGGGAAAACTCGAAAATAGTGTATATATGCGATATGACAGCAAAATGCAGGTGGGGGTGCAGCAAACATCATTAGAAATATAAAGCCAGCATAGCAATAGTGAATTCAAATGGACCTGTAACCAAAAGGACTATCACGAGCCAGAGGATAAAAATAGAAAATACCATCTGGTTATTTAACAGTTCGCCATGGAAAATCACCATGCTATCAAGAACGGCAAACCCATCTATTTCTATGGACCATGGCTACCATGGCTATGTTAGTCATAACCAGAGGTTAAATCCCATTAGATCACCATTAAACCACCACAAGAATCACCCATTTTCCATGCCTTTGATAGCTTTAAATCAACATAACTATGAAAAATCACCAGAGGGTACCCTCGATCTCCGGCGATTTCTCCAGGATCAACATAAGATTTTTCACCAACACTTACCCAAAACGGTGATTTAACGTTTTGCGAACTGGAAAATGACACATGTTTCCATAGATGTTATCGTTGACTTACATTGATTTACCCATTCATTCAAAATGGTGGATCTTTCCAGTTCGTTATGTCAACGCCTGCCAGGCCGGGTAAGTCCCATTAAACCACCATAAAATCCCATTCAATCCCAATAAATCCCATTAAACCACCATTAAATCCCATTAAACCCCATTAAAATCCCATTAAAATCCCATTAAAATCCATTAAAATCCCATTAAAATCCCATTAAACCACCATTAAATCCCATTAAAGTCTCATTAAATCCCATTAAATCACCATTAAACACAATTGAATCCCATTAAACCACCATTAAATCCCATTAAAATCCCATTAAATCCCATTAAATCACCATTAAACACAATTGAATCCCATTAAACCACCATTAAATCCCATTAAAATCCCATTAAACCCCATTAAAATCCCATTAAAATCCATTAAAATCCCATTAAAATCCCATTTTCCCATTATATAAACCACCATTAAAATCCCATTAAAACCACCATTAAATCCCAATAAATCCCATTAAACCACAATTAAATCCCAATAAATCCCATTAAAAAAAGCTATTGAAAATGGCCATAGAAATAGTGGATTTACCCGTTAATAGCATGGTGATTTTCCAGTTCGCTATGTTAAATTACCAGAGGGTAATCCAGATTATGGCACTATGGTTTTTGAATGATTTTCCCTATGAACATGGTCCCCCATTTCATTTAAACTGACAAAAATCCTCGGTGAAACATTGCTACCCAGTGGCCAACAAGAGCTTAAGATCGCCCAGTCCCGGGTTCAGGACCCTGGCAGGCATGGTTTTGTTTGCGCGACTGTCTAAGGAAGGTGGACAGGGTATTAAGGAAGATAGGGAAAAAAAACACATGTTCACCTGATCAGGCAGTGGGAAGACTCACTGCAGGAGAGCATCCCAGTAAATTTGATTGACATGTGCATCTGGCAAATTACCCTCTGGTAAACTAACAGTTTGCTATTGAAAATGGCCCATTTATAGATGGTTTACCTATTAAAAATTGTGATTTTCCAGTTCGCTATGTTAGTCATTACCTGGCGAATTACCAGCTGCAAGTGTTGATTTCCATGGCTGTTTTTTTCGGTTCACATGAGTGACCCCCGGCTATCGTGAACCAAGGTTGGCCATGTATCAGGTGGTTGCATTTCCATATTTCTCAGGCTGTATGATTATGTACATATATGTATGTGTATATAAACACATTTATATATATATATACACATACATGTGTATGTATGTATAAATGCATACATATGTGTATATATATATATGTGTATATATATATATGTGTGTGTGTGTGTACATGCATGCATGT